CAGACGGACCACTTTTGGATAAAATGTCCTCTCCATTAAAGGCAGCTCATTGTGGAATAGCCTCCCAACTGAGATACGGGATTGTCCCACTCTCAATAGCTTCAAAGGTCAACTCAAAGAATGGTTGAGAAACAAACAGACGTGCAATCACCGCTAAATGCACTTCAACACAGGGGTATCTCCTCTCGCACTTTAGGTAGCTCTTGTATCTTCTCAATTTATATGTCGTTGCTGCTATATTGTACTGCCATGTGGTAAATACTTGTGTATGCTGCTCATGCTCTTTCTGCATGTCATGTATTTATTTTTTACTATGTTTATAAATGTCAGGTTCTTAAGAGTTGTATGTGAGGGACTACGGATGGAAATTAGCTCAAAGCTAAAATCCGGCATGTTTACGTTTTAAAGCATTATTTGTTTTAAATGTTCATCAATATCAATCAATGTTTATTTATATAGCCCATGTCTCAGTGGACTTCACAGTTTGTACAGAATATCAGTATGACAATACGACACCCTCTGTCCTTAGACCCTCACATCGTACAAGGAAAAACTTCCGGAGAAAACCCACAGTTTAAAGGGAAAAATGGGAGAAACCTCAGGGAGAGCAACAGAGGAGGGATCCCTCTCCCAGGACGGACAGACGTGCAATAGATGCCGTGTGTAAATTGAAAAGATAATACATTTGCAACATAGGTAGACCAAATGTTTGGAAATGCATGTGTGTATAATAGGAAGATGAATCCACAAGGATATCCATCCAGGACTTATGATCCAGGACCACAGCCATGACTCAAGATCCAGGACTCGCGATCCATGACACAGGACCGCAGGATCATCCATGACTCATCGTATGCATTGTCCCTCTTCAAATAAACAATTAAACAAAATGAAAAAACTTGCATAATTACAATTTTTCCTAAGAACACACACGTCAAGATACAACATCTGTGTTCAGTAATTAAAACTTTCTCCATTTGTTGTCGATCTTCCTTCAAAGATGCTGATGCAGAAAAAACAAAAAGTCAGTGCAGACGCCAGTGTTCTACATAAAGGCATTTCTAAATCAGCACGCAGCCCAACAAAACCCACGGCATTACCCAACAGCCTTTGACTCACGTAAGAAACATCTTTAAATGATTCACATCCACGAACAAAGACTCTTGTTTTCAGATGGTAGGTTCATTACTGGTGGCATTTCAAGATTTTGAACAATAGCTTTTGGTGTCCTGAAGTGAACCGACGCGAGATATATTGTCGTCACATTTGAAGATGAATAGGAAAGTTGTTTATGGTATTCTTTTATGTCAGGGCAGCATGTGGTGTTGATGTGACGGGATTTATTCTAATGATCTGTCAAATGTACAGGACAAATGGGAAAACTAAGTAAAGAAAGACAGTAAACAACAGAATTAGGGAGGGTGTGAGGGTGATTCACGATCCCTTCGCGTTTGGAAGTTCTAAGAACAAACACCTTGACTTACAATATTGATTAAAAATGGTCGCATTGCTTCCACTAAGAAAAAATTGCCCGTTCCAATGGCTCAAACTGCAGCGACGGCAACGTAACTTCAAATGACGGCAGCACTGATCGAGGTTTTCTGTAACTGTCCAAGTCTGTTCACATTTTATTTTCCATTAACCAGCTCATACTGCGTTCCTGTTATTGTTTACTTCCTGTCTGTCTTCTTTTGTGGTTTTCTCTAATGTCCAGCGCACGTCTTTTAAAGTCTTTCCTTCTCTTGTTCAATTTCTTTACTCGGGACAGTTTAGCCATCACAAATCCAAGGTTTTATTCTCTCCACAAATAAAAAAAAAAAGTATTCAAAAAGTATTCCTCTGTGTTTTCTGATGGAGACAAATGTATGTTGTCGTCCACAGCTGACGTTAAAGTGACCAGACTTCTTTCTACGGATTGATATGACTGCACATAAACCTTGGATGCTCCTTGGCAACGGTCATGTTATCCTTAGCAACGTTCTGCTCGCAAAAAATAACAGAACTCTGGAATGTCCAAATTGACCAATCAGAATTGAGTATTCAACTAAGCCGAGTAATAATTGTGCATTAGACGATTTTTTTTATCTAGAGTGCTTATGTCTGGTAGGTCCCTCTCAGTATTACGTAAGTGTATTGAGTTATTCTTCTTCCGCTCATCATTATCGTCATCACCACTAAAATGATTAGGATTCAATATTTAGGAACCATAACTGTTTGTAAATTTAAAGGCAATCCACACAATATTCATTGAGATGTTTCAGACAGGACTTAAATGGTGAACCTACCATATATGCTGCTGCTTCATTTATATTCAGTAGCAGCAGAATAGCATCTGCATTGACATCTTGACGTGAAATTACAGTATTTATCATATTTATTTATCATGAACATCTGCTCAGTAGCTCATGGTGAACTTTTGTCGTATTCAATCAAATCCTACAGCAGGATCCTTGATAAACGGTTGCTCACAACAGGTGATTTAAAGATATCAATCACTCTAACCACAGGCTTTATTCTGTTAGGGCTCACTGGTACCGATCAGGAGGCAGGACTGACTGTTCTGTACAGAGGCAGAGGAGGGAGGAGGGGTACATAAATATTTAGAATATGATCGCCGGCTCTAACTATGTCCCTTTCTTTTCCTTTCAAGCATAGATTATACCTTTTGAGATCACACACACATCTCTATAATCACACAAATCACCATAGAAAAAGAAGAAAGAAAGATAGAGCTGGTGATAAACATAAAGTGGTAGTATATTTATAGGTTTGTTCAGAGGAATGTTAAAAGGCAGGTGGAGATGAGAGTCGGCACAGAAACACACTGAGGAGGATTTATAGAGCGTACCTGCACACTCAGCTAAACATACAGACAGTACATATGTGAGACATACACATGCTGTATTATTAATCATGATTGTTTCCTGCATTGTATCGTATCACATTGTAAATTCCCTTGTATCGTATCACATTGTAAATTCCCATGCCGTATTGTATCATACTGTATGTCATCGCATTGTCGGGTATTGAAACATAACGTATCGTGTCATGTTGTATCGCACCATATCGTAATGTATCGTCTCTCATCGTGCCGTATCATATTGTACATGTATGGTACCGTACTGTACTGTATCTGTACTGTACTGCATCGCATTGTACCGTACATCATCATATTGTTTCTGATTGTTCTGTATCATTTTTAATTGTGTGTTTGCACTTGTTTAGTTTCTGGCCTTCATCCCTGCATACACCCAGCCCATCATCATGACTTTTAAATCTCAATAAAATATCCTGCAATTACCTTTGTTTTTTTAGCACACAAAGACGGTGCCTTAGACTTTTTCCCTCCAAAAAACCTGATTACTAACTGATCTGTGAAACATGATGGCTTTAATTTACTGGTCTGTCCTCAAAAATGTGCCGTCAGAATCCCTCTGTTCATACCGAAAAAGCATTCACCAATTCTGGAGAGGCTTAACTTCGATGGAAATATTACCTTTACAGTTTCTGGCTATATTTGTACCTAGGAGGACACTAAAATACTGTGAGTCATGAAAAATAAAAAAATTGTCGGTTTTTGCTGTGTAACGCAGCGTCCACACGGCGGCGTGCGTTGAAGCTTGCCGGCTAGCGTGTCTGAAGCTCGACCAACAACCAATCACATGAATCTCCCGCCCCGGACACACAAGCACGTGGTTTGATTGGCTAGAGCTTGTACTGACATATGATTTGATTGGCTGACGCTTCAAAAGTTGAACATTGCTCAACTTTTGAAGCGAGCAACGCGAGCAAAGCGAAGCAATGCTCCCA